CGGCAGGCAGCGCCCCCCCCACCCCGCGCTGCCCGCGCTGCCCGCCGCGCTCCCGGCCCTGCCGCCGGCCCGGGGTACCGCCAGAAACCAAAACGGCTTCGTAAGGCCCCGTTGCCACCGCGGCTCTGCACTCCGCGGCGATAAGCGGCTTTTCTTTTGCTTTCTGTTTTTGGGTTGGATTTCTTCCCTTTTTTTTTTTTCTTCTTCTTTTTTTTTTTGGTCGGTCGGAGCTTACAGAGCCATTTTCTTAACACATTTCTGTGACCCTCTTTTATTTTTTTGCCAGTGCTATAATTAACTACATACAAAGAATGCGCCTCCTTTACACATGGCAGCCAGGAAAGACGCCTGAGCTTTGAAGACCGCTGCTATCGCGTTTTCGATCATGTTTCCCCACATATTACACCACGAATTCTCCATGTGTGGTAGTTTCAGAGTTATACGTTTTCGTCTTGAACATGTTATTTTGTTTGCCCGTGCATTTATGTATTTATGGATTGATTTATGTAAACGAAAGTAAAGATGAATCTTTGTTCACCCCCCCCTTCATCACACATGTCTGTGAATTATTCTGTATAATGCGTGTGCACGCGACTGTGCATATGTACAAACATGTATTAACACAACCAACGGATAGGAATTAAATTATTGTGCAGTTTGACACTAAAAATAATTTCTACGGAAAAAATGCGTTTCGTAGTTCGAGACGTTTGGTTTTCTTTCTGCCATTTTGAAATAAACGCACGCAATATTAGAAATAGGTAAACAAAGGAGGGAAAAAACAAAAAGAAAATATACAAGGTAAAACCTGTCAATCTGCCTGAGGTAAAATATTAAAAAGACATGGTATGGCCTTGGTGACAATTTCTTACCAGAGCCTTTGCTGGAATCAACATAACAAGAGTGTTGTGTGGCAAGAATATTGTTTACGTGTTGTTAGCTATAGATCACCCGCTTTCATGGTTATTTTCGAAAATATGAAGACTAACACCGTAGGATTCATCGCAGTAGAATATCCAATAAAATACATTTCAACAAATCAGTGGACTTTGTAAAACCGCTCATTTTCGTGACCTTCTGGTCTTTTTTGAGTCTGTTGCCTTGGCCCAACGCTGACATATTGAAATTTATAGTCCAAGATCTTAAGACCTAGTTTGTCTGCATTTTTTTTCTTTTTTCCCCCCCTCTAACAAACACAAACATCAAAATAAGGTGGTTTCAAAGAAAAGCGCCATAGCATATCGTAAACTCATTAGGTCCAGACGTCTAGCCATCTCAATGGTTTTATTATACCACGGTTCTTCCTGTTTTAAAAGAATTATAGGTATCTTCTCGACAATGGATGGGAAGCAATGCAACACCTTTTCCTGGCACTGCATGCTTTTGCCTCTCTCTTTTTTTTTTTTTTTTTTTTTTTTACAGAGGTAAAAAAACATTAAACACCAGGTCTCTCGGCTCTCCCCTTAAGCTTGAATTAACCGAACTGCTCGTAAATATTTACGGGTCCTTCATTTTAATGGTTGCTCTTTAAACAAAGCATTTTTTACAATGAACTTCATCTCAATTATCTTGATAAAGTCATGTGTGTTTATAAATGCAGAAGGCATGAGGCGCGTTGGTAAATGAGCTCTCCTCAACAAAGCTGAACGTTTGGAAGCAGCCGTGTATGTGTCCCCCCATTCCCAGAGCTTCCCAACCTTCAGATTAAAGAGCGCAGAGGTTAAAAACGGCAAAAAAAAAGAAGGGAAAAAAAAAGAAGGGG